GTTTTTTCGCTATAACAAAGCAAATGCTGATTCAAAGTATGGATTGTCATACCTTTCTGAACTCGTTATTAAATTTCCTAACGATTGGCATTTAAACCTTGACAATTTATTCATTTTTAATTTTTCGCAAAAAATTATGGGGTACCCCCTTATAAAAAAAATAAAAATTGGCGAAAATTTTATTTTTCCAAAATTACACGGAAAGTTTTATGGATTTATAGCAAATTTTGTTATCTGTTCAAAACAGTATGAATTTTTGGTGTAGGACCATTTTTGGCCAAGTTACAGCAAAAAAACCAAAAGAAAAAAATCCAATTTTTGACAAAAACTGAAATCGCGAATTTCCAAAAAAAACAAAACCCGTTTTTTCGCTAAAACGTTGCAGTTTTTTCGCTATAACAAAGCAAATACTGATTCAAAGTATGGATTGTCATACCTTTCTGAACTCGTTATTAAATTTCCTAACGATTGGCATTTAAACCTTGACAATTTATTCATTTTTAATTTTTCGCAAAAAATCATGGGGTACCCCCTTATAAAAAAAATTTAAAATTGGCGAAAATTTTATTTTTCCAAAATTACACGGAAAGTTTTATGGATTTATAGCAAATTTTGTTATCTGTTCAAAACAGTATGAATTTTTGGTGTAGGACCATTTTTGGCCAAGTTACAGCAAAAAAACCAAAAGAAAAAAATCCAATTTTTGTCAAAAACTGAAATCGCGAATTTAAAAAAAAAAACAAAACCCGTTTTTTCGCTAAAACGTTGCAGTTTTTTCGCTATAACAAAGCAAATACTGATTCAAAGTATGGATTGTCATACCTTTCTGAACTCGTTATTAAATTTCCTAACGATTGGCATTTAAACCTTGACAATTTATTCATTTTTAATTTTTCGCAAAAAATCATGGGGTACCCCCTTATAAAAAAATTTAAAATTGGCGAAAATTTTATTTTTCCAAAATTACACGGAAAGTTTTATGGATTTATAGCAAATTTTGTTATCTGTTCAAAACAGTATGAATTTTTGGTGTAGGACCATTTTTGGCCAAGTTACAGCAAAAAAACCAAAAGAAAAAAATCCAATTTTTGTCAAAAACTGAAATCGCGAATTTCCAAAAAAAAACAAAACCCGTTTTTTCGCTAAAACGTTGCAGTTTTTTCGCTATAACAAAGCAAATACTGATTCAAAGTATGGATTGTCATACCTTTCTGAACTCGTTATTAAATTTCCTAACGATTGGCATTTAAACCTTGACAATTTATTCATTTTTAATTTTTCGCAAAAAATCATGGGGTACCCCCTTACAAAAATATTAAAAATTGGCGAAAATTTTATTTTTTCAAAATCACACGGAAAGTTTTATGGATTTATTGCAAATTTGGTTATCTGTTCAAAACAGTACGTATTTTTGGTGTAGGATCATTTTTGGCCAAGTTACAGCAAAAAAACCAAAAGAAAAAAATCCAATTTTTGTCAAAAACTGAAATCGCGAATTTCCAAAAAAAAACAAAACCCGTTTTTTCGCTAAAACGTTGCAGTTTTTTCGCTATAACAAAGCAAATACTGATTCAAAGTATGGATTGTCATACCTTTCTGAACTCGTTATTAAATTTCCTAACGATTGGCATTTAAAGCTTGACAATTTATTCATTTTTAATTTTTCGCAAAAAATTATGGGGTACCCCCTTATAAAAATATTAAAAATTGGCGAAAATTTTATTTTTTCAAAATCACACGGAAAGTTTTATGGATTTATTGCAAATTTTGTTATCTGTTCAAAACAGTACGTATTTTTGGTGTAGGATCATTTTTGGCCAAGTTACAGCAAAAAAAAACAAAAAGGATTTTTCCTTTTTTTCCTCTGATCAAAAATATACATACTTTGTGGGATCGGAAACTTCTCCTTCTCTGCGTTGCAAACTTCTGGCTGAAAGCATTATACACTCTGCAAGGATATAAAAATGGATTAAATTAATAGAAACAAGAAAACCGCGGGCTAAGCTTACCCAAGATCACTTTATCGAATTCAAAAGCACCGGCAGACTGCAAATTTAATTACTTAAGCTCATTAGGGCTCATTACCCTCAAGTTCGACTGCTTGAAGCATTTTAGTAGTTGAGCTGAATTAGCTGCAGCTTACAGGTGAACGATATATGTGTGTAGCGCACAGGCAAGGAGATAAACACCCACCTAACCACTTAGGGGTTAACCTACAAGGCAAGGCTTAACCCCCGCCCGCCCTGCTCCCGTTCCTTTAACGATTTTACCCCCCCGAAACCCACTGCCTCCCCTCTAAACTTTCGCACAAAAGGCAAGCCCTCAATGGATATATCCCCTTACCCTTAACCCCACACTGCCCCCTGTGGACTGCAACTTTTTGACTTTGTGCGCCTTTTGCGGCTGTTGTAGCTGCGAAAATTTATGGCCAATTCAATAAACGATTTTATTACATGCGCACGTTGTGTTAACAATGTTATTATTATTGGCGCCCAGTTCCGAAAAAAGGGTTGCAAAATGGGGCAGAAAACCCGGGGGCAATGCAGTGAATTGGTTCCTGGGCGACGGACGGGTTAAGCGGGGTAAGCGTAAGCCAATTATTATGAAAATTAATTTATTTTCTATCGGTAATATGAGGCCAGAGCCCAAATGGCATCTACTTTTCCGATGGCGAAGGGGGAACCTTTAGCCGGTTCTTATCGCAAACTGGCCAGCAGCCAGGAGAGCTCACAACCCCCAACCCTCAATCCCCCTTGGCCCTTTTGGCCACTTATCCACTGAAATTGCAGTCCAAACCCACTGCTTTCCTGCATTTCCAAATGCTTTTACTTTGTTTACTTCCCAGCAATTGTTGTTGTCGATCTGCAGTGAGGAAAAAGTTTCGAAAAAACGGAAATTCCTGATATCTCTAGGTATTTTTCAGATACAAAATTGAAATAGCATACTTTTTGGCGCTTTTAAAGGCGATTTTAAACATATTATTATTTTTTGGGACTAAATGTTGTTTAGCCCTTTCTTAGTGCTTGGTGCTAACTCACAAATTATTCTCGAATTTCGGTTTTTGTTTTTAGATTTTTATATCGAACTGTGTTAGCTGAATGGTTGGTTATACTTGGATTAGTTTTAATACTCCAACTAACTCTACTGACCCATTAGTGAATTCGACCATGGATTAAAGTACCCAGATATAGTTGCAAATATTTAATTAACACTTTTTTGCCATCCTGCCGTCCCACTGTGCGACCCACTGTCTGTCAACGGTTTGCGCTTTTGTTTGCCCAATCCAATACACAAAAGGCCAGCGCTCACATACTCTCACACAGATACTCCGCGCGCGTTTGTGTGTGTGAAACCTTATTTTCTGCAAACGCATTGTGCTTGTATCTGTGAGTGTGTGTGTGTGTGTGCAAACACAAAGAATTCATAGAAGGCGCACTCATGTGCAACCCAACAAGGCAACAAAAGTCTCATTACTTTTACTTGGCAAATAATGAAGCTAACAACAAAACAGCCACACGCACCCATACACATGCACTAGCCAGCATATGTTGCTGTATGTGTGTGTGTTTGTGTGTGTCAATTTGACAATTGACTTTGGCTCACTAACACACACACACAAACTCATGTGGCCGGATGCGAATTCACGCTTCATTCTTAAGGCCAGTAATTTGGATTTTGTGGTCTGGGGAATTTCCTTAAGTAGATAAATCACAAAGTACGAACATCTTTGGGGTTTTCTATATTCTTCTTTGCGTTTATGGTTATTTTTGTTAATTAAAATCTTTTATATACCTAAAATACTCAATAAAGATACTCTATCTATCTATCTCTAGGAAACTAACGGAATTGTAAGCTCGAAAAATATTGTTGCATACTTTTAGACAAGTTTTAAGTGATTTTAGGGTCCATTTTGTATTAGTTTTAAAATATATATAAAATAAAACATGATTTGTAATCAATTAAGTTCTAATCCCAAAAGATTTTAGGCAGAAAGCTTTCATTCTGATTTTAATTTTGAGTATGGAAACTTAACTAAATTATTTTACAACATATAACAATAAAAACGAAGGATAATCTTCTTGAAAACACCCTGAACTCTGTTCCCTTTTGATGAATAACTTAAACGAGTTTAGTCAATGGTCCCACAATCATTTTGCCCAATCATGCTGGCACTCAATTTAATTGATTTTAAAGTTCCACACCGAAAGTGAAGCTACATAGTTCGGGAGCGAGACGTAGAGGGGTAAACAATGGCAAACGGACCTGCAGCGAAACAGATGTGTAACAGGTTGACCAACCCACCCACCGACGGCCAAAAACCATCCACTCTATACGCCGAGTAGACCCCATTCAAAAAGCCCCCCAGAAAACCCACAGAACACAAACCCTGGACAGAAATTAAAAACAAAAACGAAACTCACCAACAACGCGTCGCAAAGCTCTTGAAACTTTGGCAGGGGCGTGCGGAAAGGGGGCTTCAGCTCAGTGAAGTTCGGTTCGGTCAGGCGGCTTTTGAGTGTTTTCCACCTGAGCACAAACTTAAGTGGCGAAACTTGATTAAAACCGCACACACCGACACACACACACACACACACACCGCCAGGGGCGTAGAAGGGGGGTTGGAAAGGGGGGCAAGCCAAAAACCCGGATCGGTCGAAAAGTTTGTGATACGGCTAAGGACCGGTCGGGGATTAAGTTGCGGTTATGCACTCCACTGACGGAAAGTCAAAGTTGCACACGTTTCCATTGTAAACTCATCCAAAAAATTAAGGTCACCCAAGAAAATGTACAAAAGTTGGTGTATTCAAAGTTGATACCAAATCAAGCTAACTGAACTGAAACTAAATCTTTTAACTAGCTAATTAGAAAGTTTAATGAATACTGGATTTATCTGGAGGAAACCAAAAATATTTATAAAAACACCAAACGATAGGAATAAAATATTTCTGTATTTATTTATCCTTGCCTTTATTTACTGTTCAATTGTTTCGTAAAAACCTCTACCAATGTCTTTTGACAGCCGCATCGTTATTAAGATCTGGAACTTTCCGTTCATATGGCTTTCCTTCAAGGGGCAGATCCAAGGCGTATTCCTGTTGCTGTCTTAGAAGTTGGTGGATCCCCGGATAGTCCACAAAGACGGGGGCATACCGTTCGTAGGAGTCCTGGTCAATATCGAAGAGAAATCCATTGTCATTGTCGTCGTCTAATAAGGATTCATCGGAAACTTGGTAGTTATTCCTCAGCGGTGGCAAGTAGGCATTTCCGGGCAATTCCGCCGAGAAACAACAAACGGCAATCCAGAGGATCAGAATCAGGGTCAAAGATTGTCTCAGCATCTTGGTAACTTCGGTCGAGGGCTTCAACTGTGCTGAGACCCGAATTGCAGTTCGCTTTTATGGCAAAAACGGCAAGGCCACTGTGGTGCACTTTAAAAAGAATTTAAGACTAATATTAAGGATTATTTTATATTTTCAATGGTAGTCCAAAAGGGGAGTTTGCTATTTCCCGATATTTAAATTGTATTATTCCTTCAAAGCATCGATATTACCAAATCGATATTGTCAAAAAATCGAAAATATCGTTAACTTTTAAGCTTTATTTCTTATCATAATTTTTTGTTAATATATAATATTACATTATTATTATAGATTCTTTTATTCCAAATTATCCTATCCTACTACTATTTTTATAACGATAAGAACCCCGTAAGAAAATATTTTAAAGTGCACTCTTAAATATTCACTTATAGACTGCAAGACCTTGAGTCGAAATTAATTTTTGACTGACTATTACACATAATCAGCACTCTTAAAAAATTCACTGCGGACCTTGGACTGAAATAATATTTTTGGCTGCTCATTAGAAATAATTTTATGCCGATCCTGATCTTCAGCGGCGCGACAAACCTTCGCTATTGGCTCGTTATCTCGCATAAATTTCCCGATATTTCTGTGCCACTAACTTGGGATACTGGTTCTGTGGCTCTTATACCGCAGATGTGGGAACACAAAACGACACTTAGCCGAGCGTCGAATGTCGGATTTTTAGACGCATGCGCTTTAGGCGGCAGAATATCTGACGAATTACAGCGTTTCCCGCCAAAGTCGCCGATGGAGGGCATCAGGGCATCCATCTGGCGACGGCTTTGTTTACCTTTGTTATCAGCTCTTATCACACGGCGTCTCACCGGAGTCCGCTGGGTGTGAAGTGCCCGCCCATTGGCTGGATGGGTCTCTCTCTCTATAGGAGGTATTAGGTGTCTTCCCCTCCCTCGGCATTTTGTCCGGCAATTAAATGCAATTAATACGGGGCCTGGGAAATCTCTTCATTGGAACAAAAAGTAAACAGCACCGACTTTTATGCCTTGCATGACAACTACAAGGCGGCTAAGCCCAAAAAGGCATAATTAAGAGTTAGTATTGCAGTGGCAACAGCAGACTGTGATAACTGCTAACCGGTAAATGTTGAACAACAAAGCCGGAAAGGATATTCCAGGGTAAAGTAACGAATACTTAATGTTCTTTAAATTACGAAATTTTAAACGAGTTTATAAGTAAATCTATTGGTTTACAAATGGTTTATATAATACATTTGTCAAATAAAAAAATAAAAATATATTTTTATTTTCTAGTTTCTAGTATTTTGTTAAATTATAAATATTTATAAAAAAATATTAGGGTATGCTGACAGTGGCTTATGACCTTATATGTCAAACATTGAATGCTACATGCTGACAACATTTGTTGCTTGCAGGCACTTTTAGGGTTTTTGGTCTAAGGGGGTTAAGGTGGGCGACGCCCACGCCCACTTCTGATGTGGCCTGCAACACTTCCGGCATTTAAGCAAACAAAATATGTAGCAACAAGGAAAGCACACGGCTGCAACAAGCCAGAGCGCATTTGTGTTCCATTTGGGGACCCCGGTGCCCTTCAGTCCCCCCAACCGCAACCCCTTTTTACACCCTTCTTCAAGATAACAAGACTCAGCCCTAACTTTAAATTTAAATTTGGTTATCGATAATTTCGATTAATATTTTAGATAGAGATTGATGCTTATCTGTATTTATTTGTGGGTTTTATTTATTTGGTTATATAGAAAACGAATAGCAAATTCTTTATAGTTATGGATATTATTTTAAATTTAATAGATTAATTTGTCTATCGATCAATTAGTTACAGTTATTTTCTGTAGTAGTACTAGTATTTTGACCGCAAGTGTATATGCCCCTTTTATGCTGCCACATGTGTAGGCAGAAAATGCGGCCATGTAGGCTAATGAGTTCGTTCTATGTCGGACGTGTCTTGTTTTTGCCCTTTTATTTTTTTTTTTCTACCTCCTACACTGCCGTTGTTGTTGTTGTTGTTGCTCTTTATGTGCGGCTAACGAGGACGTTCCATTGTCTTCTGATGCCACAACCCAAAATGCCAGCGGCAGTGTCACAGTTGCAACTTGCTATCCATATGGCAATTTGAGGGCCCAGAGATTGGAGAATGGAAATTTTATGCCAGATAAAACAGGTAAGTAGGTCCAAGTGTACGAATCATGTTGATTTAACTGATTTTATTTAAAATATTTATATTGCAAAAAAAAATCATTATTATTAGGTATACAAAACTATCCTTAGAAATTTTAATTTGCCAAGGCAATTAAAAGAAAATCACAAGCACGCGAGTAACGACACACACACTCAAGAACAGCGACACTAAGAAGAATCGACGTGTGCCCAATGCCAGCTCCAATTAAATAATAGGTATCTATAATTTAATAATAATAACAAATCTCTCATTCAAAGAGCCTCCTCAACCAGTTAACCCTCAGGCTGAGCAGCTCCAGGAAAAAGGCAACCAAGGCGGCCGAAAGCAAAATCGAGGAGACATAGTAGAGGCCGCAGAAGGAGTCCAGGGGAATGGGCGACACCTCGTAGTCCTCCTCGTAGGGCTTCGCGTACAGGCTGCTATCGAATTCGCGGACAAAGTAGCCAATAATGCCGGCGGACAAGAGCTGCTTGATCTTCCGATCGAAGGCGAACTTCAGGAGCGAATGGCGCCTCAAGTAGATGACCAGTTGGTAGAGAAAGATGTGCTCGCGGATGTGGGTCAATCGGCTGGTGCTCCAGTGCATCTGATTGTAGTACGTCATGGAGGCAATCAGCGAGGTGGTCGTCACCCTGGCCTCTTCCCCCAAATCCTGGATATAATCGAAGCGATCCTTGGACCCATTTCTGGTCAACACAGTCAGGTGACGCGGATAAAAGTCCACATACTCCTGGGTAACCAGCGTGTAGTTGGCCCCGATCAACTGGGATATCTCGGTGGGCAGCGGTTTGTTGTAGGGCAGCCGGAAGGAGTCGAACAGCTTGCCCTGGTAAACCACGCGCAGGACGAGGACCAAGAGCAGCCAGCCTGCATAGAGGATGCGAATGCGGCAGCTTCGGGGCAGACTCCTCGCCTCCAGCGGATTGCCCATCAGGGTGGTGAGTACCTGGAGGAAATGAAGGGCCCAATCGGACTGCCCACAGACGAACCTCTTGCGCAGCCAGACGACGAGGACCACCAGGCAGCCGGAGGCCACCAGGGCCAACCAGACGGTGCCGCAAAAGGGCACCGCCAACTGGGCCACCGCCCCAAACTGCGGGCTCATGTGCATGATGAAGACCAGCGAGCTCTGGTGATACGAGCTCGTGAAGGAGAACTGCGCCCGGTGCTGATGCGAGCCACTCATGGCTCCAATCAGTATGGATGAATTGCTGTAGATCACCTGATCGAAGCAGCCACTGCAGCCGTCCTTGAAGTCCGGCGACAGGCACTTGTCGCAGGGCTCCTCCAGCAGGATGCGGAAGTGAAAGATCTTGGCCAGCAGCTTGATCAGCTCGCCATCGATCCCGGTCAAGCGCCAGAGCTGCGATCTCTCCTCCGGATCGCTGGCGTTGCCCTTGAAGGACACAAAGGGCGCCAGGGGATACCAGCTGACACGCAAGGGACAGCCGGACAGGCTATTCAGACCCCGATCGAAGGACCTCGCCCGGTGGCCATAGCGAAAGGAGCCGTTCTCATAGCGATCGATCAGCTCCAGGTTGATCTTCAGGTCGCAGTCCTGGTTGAACATCCGATAGGCGTAGACCAGCACCACGCCGCTCCTCTTCTGGGTGAGCAGTATCACGTTGAGGGTGTGGAAACCCACGCAGGTGGTGGATATATCCCGCAGCACCTGGAGTCTCTCCGCCCGCGAGTTCATGCGACGCGTGAACAGAATGAGGAAGTTGTACTCTCGCGTCGAATGGACATCGGTGAAGTGAAAGCTCAGGGTGTCGAAGGCCTGCGCGGAGTTGACCAGGAAAACCACATAGCTGGCCGGCACCTCAGCGGGTGGCTGCTGGAACGTCCGCAGGGCCATCGAGATGCCCACCTCGGTGAGGATCGTGGTCATTAGCTCCTCCTGCCCGTGATCCCGGTGCTCATCCTCGCGCGTCAGCTCCATCACCGCCAGGGTGCTTTGCGAGGGGCTGACCTGCTCGTCCAGAATTTCCAGGGCCGCCGCCACCAGGGGCGCCATCACTTCCGGTTCCGGCGGATGAAGTGCACCCATCGCCACGGATCGAAGGACCGCCAGGAGCCACAGATATCGAAACATTTACACGCCGCCGCCGCAGTTGCAAGTTCATGAGCAAATGCCCTGGCTAATTTTCCTAATGGTCAACTTTTATGGTCAGCCAATCGCCGATAAGCGGGTTTTCCTTAATGCCGAATTAGCCTTTTCGAACTCGATCTAATCTGCGATGACAGTGCATTTAATTAGCCTAATGCTGAGGAAATAATTACTCGAAATAAATGGCAATTCGATGCGATGGATGGCCAAGTTATCTAAGATTAAATGTGTGAGTTTTAAGAAATTTATTTTATAAAGGGGGATCACAAGTAGTATTTTACCAAGTAATATTTTGGAATTTCTATAAATTTTAATAATGCTTTAATACATATTGGTAAAAATGAAGAATGTAAATATTTCTGTGTAATATTTTTACAATTTATTATTTTTATTTAGGAAATTCGTATATAATATATAATTTTAGGCCTAATAGGATTTTTACCTTGGACTCTGTTATATTATGGTTTACATTTTCAGTGCTAAGCTTATTAATTTTACACACTAATAGATTTTATTAATATTTTCTGCTGTTGTTATAATTGCAAAGATATTAAAGTTTACACGTTTTTGTTTCGAAATATTTCCCTAAAAAATAGCAAGAGCCTATAATAATTTGTATAAAAATGCTTACTATGCAATATTTCAGTATTCCTATCATTTACATGCCTTTTTTCTTAACAAGAAACAAAAAAGCAGGGAATGCTGGGCAATCAGACAGCAATCATCACAAGAGTGGCCGCAATCCCGAGAGCAGTGTAAAACGCAATGCAAGTGCAAACCCAAACCAAAAGCCAATTCAACGTGTTTTTTTCTGTTCGGTTCGCCACAAGTGTGGGGATAAGGATAAGGATAAGGGATATTCCCCTGCCTAGGACCAGTTTTTATTTATCTTTGCGCAAAGTTGCCCACTGGACGCGGCGAGAATGCAAGGCAAATGCAGCATATCTCTGCGGCTTGTTAGTCCAAGCGAAAGGAGGCAGTGCCACGCCCCCTCGAAACCCCAGCTACCCAGCTTCACGCCCATCTGGCGCGCATAAAAATTAAAAATTTCATTAAATTCACAAAAATGCTTGAAGTGGAAAAATGTAATATCCTTTGGGCACAAAGGATGTGCATATAAATGCAAATGCGGTACTGTTGCCCGGGTAAAAACGAAGCGATATGTCCGAAACGCATACTCAACGCCGTTGCCACGCCCCCACCGCAGCAGCAGCAGCAGCTGCATGCATGAATGCACACGGTGCACTAAGAGAAAAATATGAATGCATATTGTTTTTAATTAAATTATTTGTAATAATTTTTCAATTTAATTTTTAGTTCTTTTAAAATTCATTTAATTTACCTTATAATTTTTGTAATTAAAGATTCTAGCTTTGTAATTTAAAAACAATTTTTTTTACCGGTGCCTTTTTTTTCACATGCATTTCCCGCTCGCTTATCTTTGCCTGACCCCCACTTTCCCCCCGCTTTTCATGGAACAACCTTTGTTTGCAATTAGTGGACGACTTTCATAAACAAAGCGGCAAAGAATCGAAGAGAAAGGGAAAAGGATATGGGATTCAAAACGATATTTAAGAAAATCCCGGAGTACCGAGTCCTTCTGGGAAGTCGAGTGACTCTCGAGGCGGAAACTTTGCAGCTTTTCATTTGCCTAATAAGACGTCATCAGATTGGGCCAATCGAGGAGAAAGTGTGGAGAAAGTTGGGGGGAAAGGAGAAAGGGGAAAGAGTAAGGAGCACAGAGCAAAGTGCATGGAGCATATGCCAGGCAAGCGACAAAAGTTCGAAAATTAAAAGTTTTCCAAAAAGTATGCAAAAGTCAGAAGGCGAGGAGAAGGAGTGCGCCGAAGTGGCCGGAAAATGGGAAATGGGTGTGGAGAGCGGATGGAAAAGCGGCAGCGGAAAACTGCATACGTATGTATGTATATGTGTGAGCATGTTTTTTGAACTGTAATTATGACGCTTGTTAGCAGTTATTCCCCATTTACGTGCCTCATTTCCGAGTCGAATTTTTTAAGAAATTTTTTAATGGAAAAGGAAAAAATGTATAAATAAAATAAAAATATGGATTTGAAAAATAACCTAATAAATAACAAAAATAAATATTATTTAAAGCTGAAGCTGAATATTTCCTGCAAATTTTTATTTACCCTTTTTAAATATTTATTATTTCGGTCCCGAATCTTTTCCCTAAAACTCGAATACCATTTAGGCGAAAATATCCCGATCATGGAACCAATTAAATTACTGGCCAAGGGCAAAAAACAGCTACCCCTTTTCCCCATACCCAACCCTCGGTTTGCTCTTCTTAAGTTTTGCGAAAGTTCAAGCTTGGTCTGCGCATAAATTAAAAATGACAAGGATATGCCAGGACGAGTGGGAGTGGGATTGGCATCGTGTAACCAAGCAGGCAACAAGTTGCAACTTAACGTTGCCCACATCTTGCCGAGGTCCCCGAAACCCCCTTCTCCGGAGAAAAACCCCCTCTATGGCATATGAAACATGAGCGGCCCCGCCCCTGAAAAATTCTACAAATTCAGCGAAAAGTATTTTCCACCTTTAAACGTGGAATGAAGGTGAGGCTGGAAAAAAGAGGGAAATGATTTATGAATGCAAAAACTTTTCGGACCAACTTTGTACGGCCGTTTTGCCATGGTGTGTGTGTGTAGGAAAATCCTCATGTTACACATGAGAAAGAGATGGGGATGGAGATGGGGGTAGAGGGAGAGAGAGAGACACGACCGTCCGCTTAATGGAATTATAAAAATGTTAACTTCAGCAGAAATTCAAACAGCGCCACACTCCATTCGCTCCCTTGGAAACACTCTCTAACCCTCCTTCACCCCTTCTTCACGCCTTCCCCAACCCCTTACCTAACCCCTTCCACCCACTTCCCTGGCTTCGACATGTGTGGGCAACTAACCTTTTTCTCTACTCGCCTCCTACGAGCTCAGTTATAATTTTGTTTAACATTTAAAGTGGCTTTGTTTGTGAAATTAAAAAAAAAAGAAGCAGAATTCGAACCGCAAACGATTGAAAATATTTGTATAGACTCGGAATTAAAAACAAAGCAAAATGGGGCTCACAAAAAAAAAACCGAAATAAGTGGAAAAATTTCAACGTCAGCAGCAGACGGCCTTTGGTTAGCCGTTGGATATATCAGATAGATATATATAAAATATATATAGATAGATGAGCAGACATATGGGTATTTGTGGCCAGGGCAATCCAATATACTTTTCAAAGCAAACACGAACACAACTTGAGGCTGCCACAAGGCCCAAAGAAGCTGGCAAGGGCTGACACTTGAACCCATCGCCGGGACCGGGAAAACACCACCCACATAAGCACCCACCATGTGGCCTGTACCACCACCACCCCGTGCAACAGCAGCAGCAGCCAGCCAATTTCAAGCCAAGTCCTGGAAATGGACCAACTTGTAGTCCTGCAGCTACGCTGGGCAAAAAACTAGGCATTATAGTATACAAATATAACTTATAACTTGGAAAATGAAAAATAAATGGATCGTAACAAACCAACTTATAAATGAAGGGCTGAAAATTAAAAAAATATATATTAAATACTGAATTTATGGTATTATTAAACTAAAATTTAATAATAGGTAATAATAATAAATTAAATACATTTTAAAACTCACTGCAAAACTTTAAAAATATTTATATTAAATAAAATAATTAAGGTTTTTTTAATGCATATCATCCGAAATATTTTCCCACAAATAAAATATTTATAGTATTATTCTAAAAGAGAAATAGGAAATTTGTAAAGATTTATTTTAATTAAAATCATGCAACATATTTTTACAAAAGTTCATTATTTCTCCCAGTGCAGACCCCGCTGCTGCTCCTGATGATGTGTCTTATCTTGTCCTGCAGTGGCTGAGCGATGCCAGCGCATCCTGGAAGCTTTTTATCTTGGCGTCATGTTGATGTTTGTCGGAAACTTGATTATTTTCATCTCGCTTTTTTTCGCCAACCCAGCACACATGTCGAGGAATCGCCGGCCCATGTTACTCCCACTCGGAAGATGTTTTGGATGCTGGGCCCCCGCGGCAGACAAACAGGCAAGGAGCTGGGAACTGGGATTAGCTCCACTAGCCAAAAAAAAAAAAAAAAAAAATGTACCCAGAAAAAACGTATAGAAAGATATACATATGTACCAAACATATACACGTTTGTGGCCAAAAGTTAAAAATAAAGAGTTTCGCCCCGATGTAAATGCACCTTTAACTCGGAGTGGTGGTGGCTGCCACAAGGACTCGGTTACAGGTTGAGTTCCCTTTTCCTTCTTTTTTTCTTATATCCCTATATTTGTTGCTGCCGTTGTTGTTGACAAACAAGGAGAGCGCATAAGTAGAATAAGTTGTAATAAGAGCAGTTAACAACATGAGTGAAGTCAAGGCGAGCGCACAGCGGGCAGAAAGCCAAGACACCTGAACGTCACGGCACGAACGTGGCCACAGTGGGGACACGAGATGAAGAACCTGCTCACAAATGCGGCGTAATTAATCGCACTTAAGAAATAAACCTTAGGAAGGAATATTTTTACCAGAAATAAATGGGTAATATTATAAAAACAAGAACATAAAATGAAATACAAAAAGATTAAATCAGATACATCAGATCAGAAAAAATAAATTCAAATAACAATCATTAATAAAAAATACCGAGATATTCACAGATAAATAAATCTGACACATTATAAAATGTAATAAATTCTGAACGATTTTAGAAATATATTAAAATAAAAATAATAATAATGTTATTAAAATATAAGCAAATAAATACACATACCTTTTAGGCCTGCCAGTGCATCGTCACCATAAAAAACTCCTTTAGGCAGTTTTCACTGCACTGAAAGGGCACGGGCCACGCTCCTGACAACTGACAACTCCTTTAAAATGTAGTTACTGTTGTTATTATTCAACCTTAATGAACTTAACAAGCTCGCACAGCGACGGGCCG